ACCACTGCGGACCACCATCGATCTGAATCATTGTGCATCACCACCATCTGAACCACTGTGGACCACCACCAATATGAACCACCGCCGACCATTGTCGATTTAGTAACGTCGTTTGGCTTATGATTATATTTGGGTTGTGTATTTTATATTATTTTACATATTAAATAATTATTTTATTAAAGTGTTTTTAATTTTTAAAAAATTAAAAATTTTAAAAAGGGCATTTTGGTCATTTGCCAATATTTTATTCCAATTCTAAAGCTACATTCTGTGAACCAAACAGACATATTCAAATTCCTTAACAGATTCCATTCCAATGTCTACCAACCAAACATGTGGTCAAACCTGACAACATTCCATTTCAATTCCTTCAAAGTCAAATTTATTTAACAGATTCCATTCCATCCAAAAACATTCTGCGAACCAAACGCCACCTAAGGGTTTTTCGTGAGACCCGTAAGACCAATTCTCAACTCTTGGATTAGATCTACAATATGAACATTCATAATCGCAAAATTGCCACGAGACTTCTCAATAATTACAAAATTGTCATCGTGCAACTTTAAACTATTAGATCATTAGCTTATAAAGTTGATCAATGAACATAAATTGGTCTTATGGGTCTCACGAAAAACCCTTGATCTTATGTGAACCCAACCCTATATATATGTGTATATATATATATAATTAAAGGTATGTTTGATAAACTAGCTGATAAGCTAACTAATAAACAAATAATGTTTAGAAAAAATGAGTTGATTATCATGTAAAATGACTAAAATGGACATATTGAAAAATCAATCAATTATAATATTTTATAATATAATATAGTAATAAGGGTTCTAATAAAAAAAGTGACAAAAAACTCTTAATAAGCTACTCCAACTACCGTTTCAATAAACTAACTTATTATACCCATCCTAACAATTACGCAAAAAATAGTGTTCAAAAAGTGTGTCATTACGTGCATCATGGCTAAAGGCATGTCTCCGTCCTTACGAAAAGATCCATAACATTTGTGTAAGGCGTTACTCACACCATGACGCGTTGACGCACACCGTTGCGTTTTTCAATTTTTTTAATTTTAATGTTTTAAATTTAAACTTTTATGTTTTACACATTTAATTTTAGATTTCATATTTTTACAATTTAGTTAATCACATCACTCATAGGTTTTTGCATTTACACATGTTACGTGCCTCATAGTTAAAACGAAGATGTAAAACTTTTTTGATTCTATTTTAAATATCTAATCACAAACATATTATATAAAACTAATTAATTTATATGAACGTAAAAGATTTAATATCATTATATTATTGAATAATAAATAGAAAACATATATATATATATATATATATATATATGACATATAATTTTGCCGCCTTATTTCATGTCTTAAAAAATGTGGCGTCTTCTCCATGACTTGTAAGGCTTAAGGCTTGAGGTCGCCACCACACCTCACGTCCTTTTGAATCTTGCTGAAAAGTAAGATAACTTATGTTTACCAAACAATGCCTAAAGGTACAAAATACTTAAAACTTTATATAAATTGTTTAATTAAAATACTACTTTTATTTTAAACATTTTAAATTTAAAGTAAAATGTTATAATGGTCCACCAACCACCACTATCTTTACCTCCATAATCACCGTTGGCCACCGACCACAACCGTCCATCGTCACTATTACTGTCGGCCACCACCACCACTATTACCTCCACCACCACTACTACTACTATCAATTATATAAAAGAATTTATTCAAATTTAGTACCATTATATATGTATGTATTCATTTATATGACAATTGTATAAAAAATATTTATAAATTAAAATTTTAATTATTTACTTCATTTGTGTTAATTACAATTATTTTATAATAATTAAAATCATCAAATAACTTTTGAGGGTAACTTGTCTAGTTCTGTCCCATCCAGTTCTAATCGTATCAAACACAAGACATACACTTGTTCTATCCCGTCCAGTCTTACCTCATGTCCTGTCAAGTTCTGTCCAATCATGTCTGTGTACCAAATGCTACCTAAAGGTGATCAAGGGTTCAGATTCCTTCTTACGTTTCTCACACGATCATTCGCGTTACTCATTTTGGTTTTGTATGTATATATTTTACGATGGTAAGGAGAGATGAAAGATGATAGAGGAGAGAGGACAAGGGGTTTTTAAATCCTTAATTTGTCTTTATTATTCAATCAGAGTTGACTTTTCAGATATATTAGATTTTATTTTTTAACTAAAATTTTATAGTTTAAATTGGATCTCATGAATCTCAGAGTTCTTAAAAGAAGATCATCACACATTATAATTGTCCATAAATATCTCAAATGTTTCCTAATATAATGGTATATATATATATATATATATATATATATGTGTGTGTGTGTGTGTTTTCTTTATTTTATGTATAGCATATTTTAAATATGTAACTAATAATCAAAATAAAGTATGTGTTAAGTTAAATAACTTTTTGCTTGAGAAAATTGTGTGTGTAATACATATACACTAACAGGTCATTTATCAAACACTTACTCAAGTAAGACTTACCAAGTCACATTATCTTACCAGATGAATATGGTAAGGACCAAAAATCTTATCCGGTAAGAGGGAGACAAGTACCGGGAGTCTTTCCCTGTAAGTGATGACGACAACTCTTACCATGGTAAGCATTTACTGGGCAAATTATTGCATACGATGCCGTTTTAGTGGACTAAAAAGTCTTATCCGGCAAGTAAGTGGTAGTGTTAAATTTTACCGGTAAGTACTTGCCAGGTAAGTGTTCGGTAAACGGCCCTAAGTAGTGTTTGAAGTTTCTAAAATTAAACTATAATAAACACATATTAATAAATACTTTTAAATTAAAATACGACAAATAATTAATAAGTTTAAAAGTTATATGCAAAATTTACATGTTCTTTTTTCATAATATATCAGAGAAAAAAAAATATAAATTTGATATGAAACATATAATCTATTATTAATTATAAAAATTTAAGTAATTTATTTTATTAATTAAGGGGTTTTGATATAAATTACATGATCTTGTTAAAAACTATTTATATTTGAAAAATAATAATACAAAAACTAATATATTTATTATAATTGATATATTTATGTTTAAATTAGATTTTTTCCATTTTACTCTTATGTAAATATAACAAGTAAAGTTTTGATGGATTAAGGTTTTAACATACTATATCATTACATGTGAAAAATTGATATTTATGTGTATTAGAAGGGTACTCGTACGATGCAGCGAGATAAATTTCAATTTCAATTTTAATGTTTAGTTTTTATTTTTTGCCTCTATCGATATAATACGATTTTATGTAGTTTTGAGAATATGATAATATTTTATTTTCGAATGAAATATAAATTTGAAAAAAATAATTCGATATTATTATCAAGTTAACTATTTAATAGTTTTCATTTTTTGATGTAACTTCTTTAATTTATAATATAATCTAGATTTAATATCAAAGTAATTTATTTTTAGTTTAACAATATAGTTTTTTTATAGAAATAATAATTGAACATTATGTTAGAACTCAATGATTATGTTAATTATATTTTAGATTTTTTATATTAAAATAGATGTTTATCCTGTATTTGATTGTGTTTATAGGCAGTTAGTTACACGAATTTAAAAATGAAACTTTAATAAGTTGTACTTACTCAAAATTACTTGTAATCTTGAATTTTAAGTAATATGCATTAATAAATAGTACTTCATATATAAAAAATGGTTTTTAAGAGTTTTTGTCAAATATTTTATAATATAATATAGATATTAAAAATTAAGTGTGTAGATGGGAAATGTTATCAATTCCCTCACCAGGATCCCCGTTCCTAGCTAAGTAAGATATGAAATTCTATTTCCAACAGAGATCGGGATGGAGATTGAGGATCGGAATCCCCCAGTATTTTTGATCATGTGATTCCATTACAATCTCACTTTATAAAAATTATACTTTTACTTATAAGAACCTACTACTAGTGATAGCTAAGGGGTTATTTGATTGGTTTTTCATTAAGTCATGTATGAATAAAGTTGTCTATGTTAATTAATTTGTCTATATGGATTGTGATATTTTAGTTTGAGAGGGTTTTTTCTTAGATAGAAAGAACATATTTAACCAAAGAGCATTTGATCTAGTGATATTGTAGCATTTGGCCTCCTAGAAGGTCAGAGGTTCAAACCACACCAAATGTGAGAAGGGTGCGTGAATTTATTTGTTGAATTTACCGTATATAAATTTTATATACTTTAAAAAAGGACCAAATTTAGAAAAAACTTAGAGGCTGTTTATTTGCGGCTTAATTAGGCTTGTTGGTCTATCTAGCTTATTCGCACGATTCCTTTGGGTTGTTTACTTACGACTTATTCGCACAGGACATGGCTTAATCGCACAGGTAGAAATGGTGTATTGTCCTCATTCAGCCATAAAAATGACACCCCTACCCCTTATTTAAAACACCACCTCCTTCCCATATAAGACACCCCATCTTCAGACTCTTTATGATTTTTTGTTTTGATGTTCAAATAATTAATATTAGGAGGCAAATCGATCATTTATGTTATTCAGACTGTTAGTTCAAATAAAAAAGTAAACAACAATACCTATTTATCCAAACAAACAAATTTATCCATAGATGACTTAATAATTTTTTTTATAAACAACCTCTTAACTTTCTACATAAAACTTACTAAATAATTTATTTTTTTATATCATTAAACCATCACTAAACAGCGGTGTAGAAACCACCGGCTAAGATCCTAACAAAGGTTTTTTTGTTTGTTATGAAATTGGGTTTCAAACAGGAGAGACGTAATGAGAATGAGACATCATGGTTGACCCTCCCTTTTTAACGTCGGGAAGACCTTGATCCTTAAAACCCTCGGATAGCAGGTAAAAGTTAATGGCATTGTTGATCTATCTATCTATCCTTGGATACTTTGAGATGAGATGGCGATGGCGTCAGCTGCACTCCATCGCACAAATCTAGTCCAAATCCAGTCCACCCTGTAACTCCCTGTAACTATTGACAGTTCATGCTTCATACCCTCACCAAACCCTACAACTTTCATATTTTATACTCACTGTCACTCGAATTACAATTCACAAACCTCGATTTCATCACTCCTCCTATCATATAACTGTCAAGATTCCTCTAATTCCAATTATACACAACCTTCTTTGACCCTTCCCCCCTCCCCTTTTTCATAAATCCCAGTTCATTCTTTATAATTAATCACAATTATTTTGCTTCTGGATCTGGGCTTGTATTCAGATCAACTGAAGAAATGGACGGTGGTGGCGTTGGCGTTGGCGTCGGCGGTGACGCAAAAGCCATGAAGGTGGAAGCACCCGTTACGAGGCCCGATCAGGGCTTCAATTTGGAACCCGACGTGTCTGTTTCGTCGCCTGTAACTAGGCAGAAGGCTGCTGCCGCTAAGCAGTTAATTGAGAATCATTACAAGAATTATCTACAAGGATTGCAAGATCGTAAAGAAAGGTAGTATTCTTATTTCTACTCTATGTTTCGTTTCTTTTGAGCATTTAGTATTGTTTATGATCATGAATGATGGTGATTGCTGGTTTCTAGGAGACGAGCTTTACAGAGGAGGGCGGCTGAAGCGCAAGTATCGAGTGAGGAAGAAGAGCAGATGCTACGGAATTTGGAGAAGAAAGAGACAGAATACATGAGATTACAAAGGCATAAAATTGGGATCGATGATTTCGAACTTTTGACGTTGATTGGTAAAGGCGCTTTTGGCGAGGTACAAACCCTCACCATTTACATAGCATCATATGAAATTATTGATCATTTTGTCCTTCTACGAACATATGTTGGCCATTAGTAACACTTGTTGTAATACCTAAATGTCAATGGCTTAAGATGTTATGACGATATTCATGTGTTTTGGGGTGAATCAACAACTTCCAAACACACACACACATATCTATACCCACTTTAGGAACTATAATTCAAAATTATGGATGTTTGATTGATGACCAGCATCCAGCTCGGATCTAGTACATTGAACCAGGACCCCTTTAGAAAACATAATGCATAGACCCAGAAAACTGTTTATACTCTGCATTTCATTCATTTGGTAGACCTGAAGCGTTCATGGTCTATGTGTGTTATGCAGGTGAGGTTATGTCGTGCTAAAACTAGTGGAGAAGTCTTTGCAATGAAGAAGCTGAAGAAATCAGAGATGCTTAGTCGTGGGCAGGTACCAAATCGTTCTCATTTCCAGTAGTTCTCTCCATGCTTAGTTCTGGGAACATATAGTATTGTTGGAACGAAGTGAATTCACAGATGATCTATGTGCTTTCGTTTGAGGGTATTTGGTATTGGCTTAAAATAATGTTGCAAATGCCTTAAATCTGTCCCATTGAACATTACCCCTCTTATCCAGTTTACCATTATTTCTACTTAAATTTTGTGTTTCCAAGGTTGAAAAAGTTTTCGGTAGAAAGCCATTAATAGATTTTTTTGTTTCACCACTTGTCTGTCATTCCCCGCTATGGTGAACAACACAAGACATAGCTTATGCACCTGCACTGATTTGGGTAAATGGATGTATGTAGAAGAGAAATTTATGGTTGATATGCTGATTAGTATATGATACACCCTAAGTGCACAACAAGAGCAATGCATGTTAAGCATTGACTTGTCTAATAACTGCCAAGTTGACAGGTTTGAAGAATCTTTCCCCATGCTTCCCTTTGTTAAATAATTTTATCACAAGTGATCACAACTTGCAGGCTTAGGAAAATTATTGAACTAGAATGGAATCTAATATTAATGAAGCAATTCTGTTGCACTTTATGTACTTTCTCCTTAGATGCTAATATGATGAACATGAATGAACCCTTGATCTTTTGCCACCTTTAAGAAGGTTGTTGTTCATGTATGAATTTCACCGCAGCCCCTCCAAACAAAAATAGAAACAACCTCTAAGCTGCTATACTAAATTCAAAGACATGCGTTGACATTGTCATTTATTTGTTATCTGTATATTGATGGATTTTATCGTTTGATAACTTCCATTCTTTGTATGCTTAGGTTGAGCATGTTCGATCTGAGAGGAATTTGCTTGTGGAGGTTGATAGTCGATGCATTGTAAAACTCTTCTATTCTTTTCAAGATGCTGATTACTTGTACCTTATCATGGAGTATTTACCTGGAGGTGACATCATGACTTTGCTAATGAGAGAGGACATTCTTTCTGAAGATGTTGCTCGATTTTACATGGCTGAAAGTATCTTGGCCATTCATTCAATTCACCAGCACAACTACATTCATAGGTATTATATGTCGCAACGAAACATCATATACGTGATTCAAGCGATCATTGTGAATAAAAATGAATATACATCGACTAGTTTAGTGCATTTTAGGTAAGCTGCATTTCCTTCTTGTAATATTATATGACGTCCCCATAGTACCACATTCGGTGGACTGTGAGGCAGACCAAAATAAGATCAGTCAACCTTTCAATCTGTATCCTATGTTTTAATGCCCAACTGGGCTCACTTGAGACTCTCTTAGGATGATTAGGAGGTTGAGTTTAAATCCCACACTTGTATATTGCTTAGGTTCAACCACTTTAAGCACATTGAACATTATCAGGGACAGCAATCATATAGTGCATTGATCAAACAGTAGCCACATACATGTTCGATAAACAATTTGTGATCAAGGAACAGATAGCATGTGAAGTATGTTGGATGGAAATATTTATTCCATAGTATTAAGTTCATTGTTTCATTTTCTTGGTTATGATTTTCAGTCATGACTTTGTCACTTCCATGGTTGCAGCATAGTTTGAGCTCAATCAGTACCTTTGCATGTAAACGTTTACATGCAAATCATTTCTGCAACTCTTCTAGATGGAAAAAAGCATGCACTGAACTTCTTTTCACTTGTAGGGACATCAAACCAGATAACCTGATTCTGGACCGAAATGGCCACCTAAAGTTGTCTGATTTTGGCTTGTGTAAGCCCCTTGAAAGTAAATTTTCGTCAATATTGTTGAATGACGAGGATTATGCAACTCAGGGGCCCATAAATGACAATGATGGGCAGCAAGTTCCTTGGTTAATGCCAAAGGAAAAATTGCAACAGTGGAAACGTAATCGACGTGCCTTGGTATACTTTCTTAACATTTGTCTTTACTTTCTCTTGATCTAAATAATGTGTCAATGACCTTCCTTCCATTTTATTTGTATTTGTTTACCAAGCATTCTTCTATGTGCTCCGTTAAGATGTTAGCACTTAAATCAATAACATTTCTTTGTGTAAAACTTCATTTTGAAGGCATATTCCACAGTTGGAACTCTCGACTATATGGCACCCGAAGTGCTGTTAAAAAAAGGATATGGAATTGAGTGCGACTGGTGGTCATTGGGCGCAATCATGTATGAGATGCTTATAGGCTATCCCCCATTTTGCTCTGATGATCCCAGGATGACTTGCCGCAAAATCATTAATTGGAGAACATGCTTGAAATTCCCAGAGGAACCAAAAGTTTCAAAAGAGGCCAGGGACCTGATCTGTCATTTGCTATGTGATGTCGAATCAAGGTTGGGGACTGGAGGAGTGGATGAGATAAAGGTAGAGAACCTTTAAAGATATTATATTTTTTTCGGGTTGCATAGCATTTATATGTGTTCAATGACTACATAATATGCAAGATGATTTGACTATGATCTTTGATTTGATTAATTAAGAATCCTGTTCTAGGTTGGCATTCGTTATTCGTGTTGAAAATTCTGCATCTCTTACTAACGTACGTTCCTTCAGGCACACCCGTGGTTTAAAAGCGTCAAATGGGATATGCTCTATGAAATGGAAGCTGCCTATAAACCCATTGTCACTGGAGAATTGGACACTCAGAATTTCGAGAAGTTCCCTGAAGTGAGTACTTTGATTTCTAATGCATTTCTAGTCATTTTTGGTAAGAAAGGTTGAAGTGGGGTGTTTATAAAGTTTAAAACTAATTTAAAGTATGGAACCCTTTGTTCAATGATACGGTCCCCTCACTTATAATACGATTAGCATTGTGATACATGAATCACAAAATGCACACAAGTTTAGCCATTATTTTGGTTATATAGTGTGAAGAGTCGACTTGGCCTTCTCTCTTTGGAGCTCAAGGTGTATTATCTGCTTCTTATAACTGAACCAAAAGGCCGTTATATTTCCTCTTTTCTTACTTGAATCCATGTTCAGTTGCTAATTTGTTTTTTTTTTCCAGTTTGTTTTGTTCTTTTACAATTTCCAACTTAATTTGAATATGACCCTCAAACCTTGTTATTCCTGCTTGAAAAAGGCAATGACATTCTTTTTCTTGTTATTTAAGATTTATTTCTGTGTCAATCTATGCTTTGATAGGTGGAAGATCCTCGGTCAGCAGTACCAAGAGTTGGACCTTGGAGAAAGGTAACAACCTTTACTTTTTGTAATGCTTGCTTGCCTATTGCATTCTCCTTTTGGTGTTTAAGTTGCCATGGTTGAATTCTATAACTTTTGTGCAGATGTTAACATCGAAAGACTCCAATTTCATAGGATACACCTTCAAAAAGTCAGATATGTTGAAATCAGTCGGAACTTCAGGTATGCTTCTTGAGCAGTTTAGTTTCAATGTTACAAATTCTTCTTCCCATTGCTATAGGACATTTTTGAAAGAACCAACTGTTTGCAAATAATATCTTTAAAGTAACTTAAGCTATCCTGTTTAGTGTCTAAAATTTCGCGTCTTAAATTGATTTCATGTATCTGGATACCCTGATAACATCCATGAGATTTGGATGCCGTCTAATTTTTGTATTTATTTGAACGCCAATAATGACATATATGTTGGATCTCAAATTTGGATTTGGCAATATCTGCTCCTTTTATATCCCTAGCAGAAAGAAGTATAACTATGATCGTTTGTTATGCAGGTATAGATATGAGGTCAAATGGACCTTCCAAGCCCCCATCGTTGGTTTCCTTGTTTGGTACGTTGCCTCTTATCATCTACACAATCTTTTCGACACTTTCAAGCACTGGTTTTTTGAAACTATCTTATCAGTGTAGTTTTTGTTGGTAATTTGGAACTACAAGAAGATTAGATACTACTATCCTTGAAAATCCATGTTGTTTTAGAAAAATTGTTTGAGTATTTGTGAAGGTCTAAAATATCCTCGTTCAGTTGGTACGCGAGATGAGTCGAGATAGGACAGAATAAAAACTTGCTGTCACGCCTTTTGGTTCGACATTAGACTGTAACCTGATGACATGGTTTGACAAAAATAGGTGGAACAAAAATCATGAAGACTAAACAAGATTGGTAAATTACTAAACTACCCATGTCAAATTAAAACCCTAGAAACCTTCCACAATTTTTTTCACCCGCCTACCGCCTGTCCTGTACCAATCGTACCCTCGATTATTACAAGACACAGGGAATTTAATGGACCCAAGATGGGCAAATACCATGAACTTGAAAACCTCCCAAAAATGGAAATGATTGCAAGCTTTACTGGATGGAGGACTACTATGCAAATATCCTAGTTCAACTTGAAAACCATACAATCCCATACCCGTTCATAAATTTAACACGATAGTACTGAATGAATCTTCTAATCCTTTCAGGCCATATGGATTTGAAAGGAACTGCATTGCCCGAGGACGAGCAGGAGCAGAAAAGTTGACTTCAGCCTCATCAGCTCCAATCATGACAGGTCTCTATATGCAAACATTTAGATCTCATACACGGCTGTAATCACGAGCGTTTTCTGTAAAAATACAACAATTTGAGAAGATCGGTCTAAATACAATTTTGAATGTCATAATTTACTTCATAATATGCTCTCGTACAGTTTGTTTTCGTGCGATATGATCTTCTGGTATAGATTCCTACATCTGATTTTAACAGAAACAGAGCATTTCTTGTAACTTTTACCTCTGGTTTTTGCACCTAAATAGTAGCATTGTTTCTTTAATTTTGTTGCCATTTGGGTTATAAAAAGTTATGTACACGCAGATGTATTGCTAAAAGTTTCAGTTGAGCCCTCAGTCCTGGTTATATGGTATCTGGGTACTTAAATCCAAAAATAATTATGTACACATAAAACAAGTATGACAGCTACATAGCAATTGATATTTACATATTTGTGGATTAGATTTCAACAAACTCAAAACAACTCATGGATGAATAATTATGGTAGTTTAGGGAACTATTAAGATGATTAAGTGACTCTTATGATATAGTACAAAATGAAATATGATTGTTTACGATGAAATTAGGTGTTGAATGGTTAAGGGAGGTCTAGGATACAAAATCATTCAGAGGGTTTTAGAACCATTAAGAGACGTACTTTTTTCTTGCAAACAAGATTCACATCTTAACGATTCAAATGTTGCTTCTTAATAAAACTATTAAGAGGTAAACAAACAATCCCTAAGACATGTATGGAATAAGATGGTTGAATATAGATTAATGGCTTATTCAATTCAGTAATTTTTAGTTGTTGCTTAAAAATTAAAGAGTTCACTACAAATTTGGTTCGTATGGTTTCTCAAAAATAATACTTTTCATCATTGCAGTTTTGAAATTACAAGATGGCCATTGTGGTTTGTAAACACGTTCGAATTTGGCCCCTCCCTCTAATGGTCATCGTGGTCTGCAAATATTTTTCGTTGTTTTATTGATTGTTTTTGCCTTTTAACCGATCACAAATCACATGAACCAAAATCATAAATTGGATTTTGATTGGAGAAAAGAGAAAAAAAATAGATAAAATGCCCCTCACTTGATAGAACTTTTTTAACGACCTTTAGAGAAAGGGACCAAATATGAACATTTTTTGCAAACCACGATGACCATATTGTAATTTTGAAACAGTAAAGACAAAAAATGTCATTTTTGACAAACCACAAGGACCAAATTTGTAGTTTACTCAAGATTAAATAAAAACAAATATTGATTGAATAAACTATTAAGTATTTAAGTTCATTATGCAAATATTAAGTGTGTTCATCGATTCACATTCAATGGATTTGACAACAGTAAATCCAATCATCGACTGCAAGTTGAATTTTGACGTCAAACTAATTTAATCCAGTATAATAGATGATTGAAGTGTATATGTTTTATTCATTATAATTGCTATTGTTTATTTATTGGATTGGATTGGATTAAATGAGATCAATAGGGCGGACTAGAGATGGCCAAAAACCGGTCCCGGGCCGGTCCCAATCGGTCCTTACATTTCTCATAACCGGTCCCGGTCGAAAATAATAGGACCGGTATAGGTACTCTATAACCGGTTATGGGCCGCCGGTCCCGGTCCCAACCGGTCCCAACCGGTCCTTCATTAAAAAAATAAGATTTT